AGAGGGCTGACCTGTGAAACTTCATACCTCTCTATCTACCTACCTGTCTATCTATCTATCTATTTATCTGCCTGTCTATATCCATATATATACATATATACATACACACATGCACAGACATCCATCCATGAATGCCCGCATACACACATACATACATACGTACGTACGTACGTACGTACGTACGTACATACACACATACATACATCCATCGTGCATGCATGCATGCATGCAGCATGCATACATACATACATATATACAGACATGCATACACATATATGCCTTATGTATTGCATGGCGTTCTGGTTGTCGTGCCTTTCAATGTTGCTTTGTAGACTGTTTTGTAGTAGTCATAGTCCATAGTGTTGTTGAACTTTGTTACCCGTTACTTTTTCTGTTGCAGCTCTGAATGATTCTACATTCTAAATTCAACTATCTCAACAGTTCGCCGTCTCCGCATGATTCTGCAGAGGAGCTGCAGCGAGGCCTCGAGGGCCGCAGGCATCTGGGCCCGGAAGAAGCCCTCCTGCTGCGCTACCAGCAGCGCCTCTGCTTCGCTTGACAAAGTCAGTACACAACTGCGTTTTATGCTATCCTACGTCTCACACACTGGTGTCTACAGGTTCGTATGTCATGAGTATAGGCTGCGAGACCACAGCCGGGCTTCGTATGTATCTGACATGTCATGTCCTGGCCTGAAAACGGGCTTCGTCGCACTAGACCGCACAAGTATGGAGCACTGAAAGAGACGGGCCACAAATCACCTTTGCACCCCAAGAAGAAACGTCTTTGATGACCTTCGAAGGGAGAATGCATCCTGCAAGTCACAGCAAGCTCAGGTCGAGACTGAAACCGGTGCCTGTCGGCGACGTGATGCGAAACACACCGCAGGCCGCTCTTCCTTGGGTCAGACAGGGTGTTGCCTTTCAAGGCTCTGTGGAGGCTGCTTGCAGTGTCAGAGTATCGATAGTGTTGGCAGGACACGAATCGCCCACTGTACCCGTTTCCAGGACTTGGAGATCGGCTGGTTTGATGGTGATGGCAAGCTACTGGAGGTCGCGCCGCTGCGCGCCAACGACGCCCAGGTCGATTTGCAGACATTCACGAGGGGTTCACGATGGTCAACATCAGTAATCGTCAATGTACCAGAGGCTGTTCGGCTTTGCCGAGAACGGGTTAAGCCACGTGCTCCTGGAACAAGGGCAGCCTCTTGAATTGAAGCACAGGTGTGGACCTCTCCTGTACAAACGTCAAGAATCGCTACGCGAATGTCGGTGCAAACTGAACACCTGCAAAGCTACCAGCAAAGCCAAGTGCGACGACGAATGCCGAGTCAAGCAGTGAGGTGACTTGGTCCAAGCATGACAGCGTGGCCTGGGGATTGGAAGCAGCTTGGCTGTTTTCCCATGGCGCCAGCTCTTCCGGGGGGATCGAAGAGGATTTGGGTCCCAATCCGTTTTGTTTGTTTCCAGCTACTCCTAAGCCGGATGATGCCATCTCTGACCGGAGTCCCGAAGCCCTAAACTCATTAACAAAAACATGAACCCACGCTTTTTGTCTCCAAAACCCTTTCTGCGTTGAAGGCCCCACCCGGCACTTTCGCAGCCAGCGGTGCGCGGCCGGGCGAAGCCATGCTCGACGTCTCTGCGATCCAAACGAGCTGAGGAAGGAAAAAGAAAAAGGCTGCAGCTGGAACGGGTGGAGGTCTGTAGAAGATGCAGCGTCTCTCTCCCGCTCGTCATTTTTTGCCCAGAGGAACCCATATGGCTACTACAAGTAAGTCCTGCGAGGAAGGAGAAAAGCTAACGGGAGGAGCAGAAGCAGCGGCATGCTCGTCGCCGTCACTACTGGCCGCTTCGTTTTGCCGTCTAGAGCCAGACTCGTGTGCGTGTAGAGGCATGCAGTAGCTGGGAAGACTAGACTTCGGCGTTCTGTTCTTCAGCTTTAGGAACCAAGCCTGTTGCTGCCGGATCTCAGAGTATTCATCCGACCAGCGCGACCAGACACCTTGGCCAGCACCGCGAGTGGCTCAAGTGCACACAACACATCATTCAACACTCGGACGGCATGTTTGCAGTTTCAATGCAAATTAGTAGAGGTATAACGCAGCGTAGCTACTTCATCTGGAATTCCACTCGCAAGTCCCCTTGATCCTTCAAGCGTACTCCACTTCTGGCCCCCAAGGTTGACTCACTGATCTCCATCGCGAACAAGCTGCACCAGCGCATTTGGGATGAAACCAGGCGTGCTATACGACCGCAAACTCGCTAGATTCGGGAGGAGGATGCCAACTGAGATCCCAGTCAACGGGCTCAACAGGCTTCTTAGCCTTCCCCACTTGCTGAGACGTTGAGGCACAGGAGGGGATTGCAGGATGGGGTCGCAGGACTTCGTTTTGAAAGTAGGTGTTGGTGTCATCTTAAGGGTTCTGTTAAGCTGCTTAGAGTGCTGCGATCGATCCTGCAACCCTGAGCCCGAACTTTAAACCAGAACAAGCCTCAATCAAGCCCTTGGATGGAACCAGGTCCACCCGGCTGTTCGTACGAGACTTCCCCCCACCTCACCCTCCTGCCCCGCCCCATAATGTTCGTAAGAAGTTACTAGCCCATGATGCCGCTCATGATGCCGTCATGATGCTGGCCCCGGCAACGCCACGCCAAGTCAACATAGAAAGGAAGGCAAAAAAGCGTGAAGCTGGCCTTCTGCCATCTTCAGGTCCTAGACGATGGGTGAGTCTTAGGATCCTGCTGAACCCTGCAGATGAATGCGTTTAAGCCGATGTTGCAAGTGGTACTTAGGAGACTTAGGTAATTGAAGCTCGGATTTTCGTCTCCCGAAGGCCTGGATGCCTGGCCAATGATGTGGCTTTGGCATCGCTTGCGGAGGAGGTGTCCGGGCTGTCCTTATGTTTAGATTGGGGACATGCTCGAACTTCCTGCGCAGCTGTAGCAACTGCATCATGAGAATAAAACTGTGGGGGCGGCCCGAGCCCCAATTCCCCCCGCTTTGGGGCTCTGTTCGCAAGTGTCAGCTGTTGGTCCTGCAATAGCGACAAAAGCGTCCAAGGTGGTCTACTATGCGGTGCCCTCGTCGCAGGCCCTGGCGACAAAATATCTCGCCCGGATGTAGTGTTTATCTACCCCACGCAGCACTTTTTTCAGCACTCTCTCTGGGTTTTCTGGGTTTTGGAGGACACGGACTGACACAGCTTCTTCGATAGGATCTTCCCATGTTCGGCATTGTCGTTAACTGAATTCGCCCGACGTCATAGCTGGCTTCGGCATCTCACAATGCCTGTGCATGTATACAGCCTGCAGATACTCGGCAAGCTGTCGGGAAGCTCTCTTTCCATTTGTGTGGGTCTGCGGCGGAGCTCCTGGCATCCCCGGCTGCTCCGCAGGTGCCTGGCTTCGTGGGCCACGGGGATGGCTTCGGCTCTGCGACTTTGCGGCACGCTTTGCCGGAATGTTCGCAACTCGTCGGTTCCGGATCGTCGGCGACCCGTCCAAAGTAGATTCAGCTCGGGTGCTAAATCTCGTCTCGGCAGCGCGGGCTAAAGATCGGAAGATGTCCTCGGTTTCGAAAAGACCTCACTGGGCACAGAACGCCTGAGCCAGGCTGCACGACTGCATTGCCTTCGTAGCAAGTACGTCGCACAACACGGCGTATCCACGGCTTCATGAGCTGCTCGCATCGTGAGAAGTCAAAGTCTTCCAACTCTTGCCGTTGCAAGCAAATCGCGCCAAAATATCCATCTGAAACTAGTTTGGGGTTTGGCGAGCCAAGAGAAACATCTTCAACGTGCCGGAAGCCCATGTCGACACACGGAAGCTGCGTATCCCCTGTCGCTGCTCTTGGCTTCTGCCACATGCATTCGCTGTGGCACCAGGTCCGGGGCGAGCTCAACCGGAAAGGCCCGGAAACGATGCAAACTCAGGGTTGGGCCCTTGCAGTGTTGGATAATCTTCTTGGTATTGGCGGGTGTCTGCAGTAGAACTCTCGACCGCTGGCCTGTATCATATCAGCTGAAAGAGGTGAGTCACCCTGGCTGGATTTGGTCCTGCAGAACAAGCACGACCAATCTGACACTGAGAAGTCGCGGAGAGAAATGCTGTTGAGCGGATGGCTCTGTGCGGTGATGAGGATATCACAGACATAACTATAGAACTTGCATCACGGGCGGTTCGTCTGCTGCAACCAGGGAAAATCACGCATCGCAGGTGTCAACCACGGTCTGAACCATCACTTTGTCAAGCAAACTTTAAGAGCTTGCCGTAGTAGTCTGCTCTCGACAGAACACACGCATCAAGAAAGATATCAGGATGTACCGAGGTTCGTTCCATGCAGCGTTAACCCGAGATGCGACTCGGTAGCTGATCAGTTGGCTCGAACCGGGAAGCCGGTGCTTTAACAGGCCAATGTGCACTTGAACTCTCAACTGCCTCCCCTCCCTCCATCCCTTCCTCCATCCCTCCCTCCCTTCCTCCCTTCCTCAATAGGCCTCCCCTCTCGTCTGGTTTGCTGTCTCTCAAACTGATCTCATGTTCAGATGCTGGCCTTGTCGGATAAACTTTGGGTCCTGGGCTCATTTTCAGATTCAGCGCCTTTCTCAAGTACCCAGCAGATCCACGTCATGCGCGCGTGTCGCAGCTCGAAGCCCACACTTGGCATCTTTCCTTGAGAAGCTGGCCTGCTTCCGTGCTCTCCCTCCTATGGTCGTTCCTCCTGGGCCCGGCCTTCCGGCGACATTCGTTGCTGCGATCGGCGTCTTCCGTGAGACCCTGAGGCCGTGGCTTGGGCCTCTCGCGTCAAGGGCCGCCTGTCACGGTTCACACACTTACTTGTCGAAGCAAGTGACTGCTGCACTTGCATTGAGTCGAAGCCAGTGCAGGCGCGTGCCACCATGGCTGCTGTTCTCCGGAGTCCGGCTCCCGGGAATCCATCGGGTCGAGAGGAGTCAGTCATGACATCTGTTTCAGAAGACCTGGGACCACACTGATTCATGCAGGAAACTAATCTCAGATGTCGGGGGTTCACGCAGTTCAGTTTCTGCTACCTTCACTTGTCCCCTTGAAGCCGTCTATTTTTATCATCCGAGCCACTTCTCGCAGTGTCTCTTAGGCGGATCAGTTCGTGAAGCCCGTCACGAACAACTTTGCATTCCCTTCCGTCACACTTCCATCCCGCGTGACGGTGGAGCAGGCCAACGATGGGAAGCTCAGTTCGTGTTTGCATAGCGAGTGGAGAACACTTGGCAGGACACCGTCGGTGGCGTCCCCGGGGAGTGGCACATCCCAGAGGCACCAAAGAAAACCCTTGGCACCCTCGGCCCTGAGACCTTGCCTGCAGGACGCAAACAGCCATGTGGACAATTTGCTTGTTTGGGCTCATGGTGGTGGCTTCATGTTGCTCGGACAGTCCCCTGCATTGTGTCGAGGCGCTGTTGAGTCGCAGAGAGGACCCAACCTGTGCCTGCGAGCTGAGGTTTTGCTCACCTGGGACACATCGGCTTTTCCTGAGCCGTGCTACTTGGCAAAAGTGCAAATCTGAAGGGTTATTGCACAGCCTGGGACATGTCTGTGATGATGTCAAGTCCGAGGTGGCAGAGCGATCGCAATGTGCGATCTTCTGCCCAAACTATCGGCGGCTCAGTCAAGACCGAGTACAGGCGTTAAAACGAAACACACCTCATATCCGGTTGCGATGTGCTGAGGAAACCTCCCAAACATCCCTTTCCCGAGCCGCTCTCGGACGTGTGGAAGAGCTACGAGGCGAAGAGAAGTGACGGCGACGGGAGCCTCTGAGCGCAGACCCAGCGACCCCCGGAGGTTCTCCGGAGCCGCAACACGCAGCAAGACGTCTACGTAGGAGGCGTTCCTTGCCTCCACTGGTTCTCTTCGACTTACGAAAGAGCCGTGGGACTTGCCATGCCGAACTGCCATGGGGATGAGCCTCAGCCTTCCAGGACAGTGCGGGTGGCAACCTGGCACTGGAAGTCGCACGCCGGGCCTGCGCAGAACAGGTTCGGGCCCGGGAGGGCACTTGACTTCTGGCAGCTTCGAGTTTTGATAGGAGAGTCAGTTGGAACGTGGCTCTCGCAGCTCGCATCGTCTTCCGCAGTTGACAGATCTGCTTTGCTTTCATAGAGAACCAGAAGCAGGCTCTTTCATGTGTTTTCCAAATGCACTGCATCCGGGCCACTCTCCCAACGGTCGAGCGAAAGGTATCCACTCATCTGCAAAAGGTGGCAGGTGCGAGCCTGAGCCTGCACATGGCTTCACGATGTGGATCGATGTGGCTTTTTGCATGGAGTGTGTTTCCGATGAGTTTCACCAAATTGATTTGCCTTGTAGAGTGCAGAAGCAACACTGCTTGCAGATGCATGAGCCTTCTTCCTGATGGCCCTTATAAAGTCTTCATATTTGTAGGGCAAGGTCTGTGAGAGCAGGCCAGGCCAAGCTCGGCCAAAACAACTACGTAAGCTGCATTAAGCTGCCAAGCCATGTCAGTTCCGTGCAAGCGCTTTCAGCTCCTGTCAAGCAGTGCCGGAGTTTCGCATGATGGCGCCAAGCAAATCCGGGGTGCAGCCCAGCAGTTTCATGCAGGGCCTAGCCGACTCTCCTAGACATATAAGCACCTCTCAGCAGTAACTCTTGATTAATACCCCCACCCCCCGCAAGGTAGGTCGGCCGGTGGCCAGATCGGCCCCCCCAAACAACTGTTAATTAAGAAGCACGAGATCCAAAAGAAATCCCAAACCCACGCCAAGCCTGAAGACTAGAATTGCATTTGGGAGGCTCCAGGGACACGGGTTGCATTGATCGGGGGGGGGGGGTTTGGGCCAGGTCCGGCTGGCTTGGGGAAGGGGAGCTACGTAGACGGACCTGGCAAGATCAACTGCAAGCTTTGGGCGGCTCCCGGTAGTCTATTCGGTCCTTGCCGGCGGTTCCTGGTAGTCTAGTCGGTCCTCGCCAGCTGTGAGAAGGGGAGCGACAGTAGCACCTGTATCACGGCGGCCTTGGGCATGTTGTTGGCCTCCCCGGAATCAGGTGTCTTGCTACTCAGCCCTTGGGTCGACCTGGCGGACAACACGTCCGACTCATGGCCCCCGGGCCGAGAATGGCTCGGGCCGGTTTGTCAGTGTGCATGAAGCAAAGTGCTATGCAGGGCTGAGAAGTAACTGAGGTTCCAATATGAGGCGCCGGGGCTGAAAAACATTGGTCTCTTGACGATAGCAGCAGAGAGGCTTGACAAAAACTTGTGAAACTGGTCAATCGCGTGCAGTCGGCCAAAGTAAGACTGCTGAATGCAGCATCTGTGTTTTCGTGTGTGTGTGTGTGTGTGGGTGGGTGAGTGGGGGGAGCGTGTGGCACCACCTGTCATTGACTCTTGTCAGCATGTTATTATGAGTTTGCCAGTCTTTTGGTGGTCTTCTCGTTTACTAGTTGCCGAGTCGGTGCAGTGTTGCTTTGTCGATTGTGCACGGTTCTTGATTTGGGTGGTTTCAGCGGCGACGTGTTGCATTGCAAGAGTAAGTGTCATTAAGATTGATGGGAGGTCTTCCGCTTGACATTGTTTTGCTTGGGGCTCCTGTGTTCACAGCTTTCGTAGTAAGAACAGTCTGCAGAAGCCTTCAACAAGGCTAGCCAGGGCGAACTGCAGGGGCTCGACTCCAGTGCACAAAAAAAGGCCTGGGGTTGTCTGCAGCAGTCTCCGGAGTTCCTGCTGGCAGGAGGTAGATTTCCTACCGCGACAGCAAGCGCGTGCTGTTGCAAAGATCTATGCCTCGACTTGGCCTCTGGAGGCACGCTGTGATGAGAACGAGCTTCGAAAATCACGGACTTAAGACATGTCAATGTGCAGCCACAGAGCTCCTGGTGCGGGGTCAGCCTCAGGGGAAGTACGGAAAGTCTACACGCTTCGCTACCGTGCAGTGATTCATAGATCCCTCAGATGTGCTCAGCCAAGAGCTGGACTCAGCCGCAAGTTTCTGCCTTCTCTTGGGTTTTCCACGGACCTGCCGTGTGCTCCCGGAGGATCCAGCCATTTCGCCTGTGCGGCATGAGACGTGGCCCTCCAACTTTCCTCCTGCTTCCTGGCAATCCTACATAGCTGACATAGCCATAGCCGACTCCTCGATGGAGCAGCACCTCCTGAGAGACACTTCACTAGCAGCAGTCACAACATTTGCAGTCAATAAGTTCAGCAGCTTGGGTGGCAATTGCAAATTCCTGCCGTTACCTCCAGACTGTCACAGCCGGGCTGGGTTCAAAGGTCGCCGGAGGGAAGATGAGGGAAGAGCCAAAAAGTGCAACAGCTTCCCACAGCTGCCCTTTGTTGTCAGAGGTTTTTTCTTTTCGCCTTGCCCGCCAATTCACCTCCTGCCCTGCATCGCTCACCGTGTCCTCATTAGCACATGCCGTCAGCAAAGGCAACCATCTAAGTTGCCACGACATGAAATCGAAAGCTTACCTCTTCGAGGGCACACCTGCCTCTCTCAGGTTCATTTGGAGTATGGTGGCTCTGAAGTATTTCGCGATCAAATCGAGAGGCTGGTCGACGCCTTGAGAGAAAATCGCGTCGCAGCTTGGCTCCAGCTTTGACTTGGGTGGCCTTCCAAGGTATTGCTGCTTGCTGACGGGTGCCGTATGCGAACTGAGGAGCTAAGCATGCACCTGGAGGAGGGCCAAATCCATTGTTATCCATTGCTCGACTTCTTGGCACCTCAGGCCGGGGAGTTGGATGCTTCAAAGACTCATGGGTGCAGCCTCACTCCAGGTTCCGGAGATGTCAGAAGGCTTTCTATCAAGGACGGCAAACTTCTTAAATAGAAGGACATTCGAGAAGCGTGCAAAATATAATTCCAATTCAATATTATACCATCGATTTGAATATTCGATGAGATTGAATTTGAATAAATCATTCCACTCGCCATACCTATAACAGGAAATATACGAGCACATGACGATACAACCAATTTCTCGAAAGAATTTCACCAGATACCAAAATACTTTATTGAATGAATTATCTAGGGATTTTGTCGAAGGCGAAATTCCGGTAGATTCTACTCGATGGTATAATTAGTATTTTGCAAAGAAATGGAAGATTGGAATCTAGATCGATATTATAGATGAGAAATAATATTATGAATTCTTTATGAATACATTATTATTATTATAAAATTAAATAAAGTGGTAATTTTTATTGCGAATATGAGAAAATTAAAATAAGTAAAAAATATAGATAGAGATTTAGTGTCTGAATATTTTAATTTTGAATTTGATTAAGAGCTTCTTAATATGAAATTATTTAAATAGTTTTATATTTTATTATGAAGGCGTATTTATGGATTTGAAGATGAATTATAATTGATAAATATGAAAATATTTTGTTATATTCGGCTAAGAATATTATATAATTATATAGATATAATTAGAATTCTATGATTCTATTTCGAATTTATAAAATTATATATTCTAAGAGATGATAAAGAGATAAAG